AACTTCGAAGAATAATGTACCTGACCTCCTAGGTGTCCATGTTCTACAACACTACCCAAGGCCCTTGGACATAGCAAGAAATAAAGATGCTGGAGTCAGAGTCAATACAGTGTGGAGTTGGAGAAACACAGCAGGTCAGGCAGCATCAGAGGAGCAGGCGATTTGACATTTCGGATTGGGACCCTTCATCAGGACTTGGGAGGGGGAAGTGAGCTGGGAAATAGAGGGAGGAGGGGTAGAGCGGGGGGAAGTTAGGTGGGATGGTGATAGGTGGATGCCGGTAGGGGTAATGGGGATTGGTCAGTGGGAAGGCTGGGGTGGATAGGTGGGAAAGAAAATGGACAGGTAGTGTTAGGTCAAGAAGGCATGGGTGAGAATGAGGGCTGGACATAGGATGAGGCCAGAGTGAGGAGGTTTTGAAACAGGTGAATTCTATGTTCAGGCCATCGGGCTGTAGGCTCCGAGGTGTTGTTCCTCCAGTTTGCCTGTGGCGTCATTGTGGCACTGGAGAAGGCCCAGCATGGATATTTCACTGTAGGAGGGGGAGTTGACAACCAGAAGGTGGTGTTGATTATAGCACACAGAGCACAGATGCTCCGCAAATTGGTCACCGAGTCTGCACTTGGTCTCACCAATCTAGAGGAGGCCACGTTGGGAGCAACGGATACAGTAGACCAAGTTGGAGGCTGGATAGGTGAACCCCTGTCGGATATGGAAAGTTTGTCTTGGGCCCTCATTTGAACCCAGTTGTCTATATCTAATATCATACTTTGTTTTGTTGTTGAGTAGAACCTCAATATCTTTATTTATCTATTGTTCTCTAATCCTGCCAGCCTTAACTTTCACTCTAACAGAAACATAATGACTGTGAACTCTCGTTATCACATTTATCCCACTTTAAAGACATCCCTTTACCTGCAAAGTGTACACCAGTCAATTTTTGACAGTTGCTGTCTCATACCATTTAAAAATTGCCTTACTCCAATTAAAAACTTTAATTTTTCTGCAAGTCTTATCCTTTTCCATAACTATTTAAAAACAAATAGGATTATGACCATTAGACCCAAAGTGTTCGCCTAATATCATTTCAATCACTTGCCCTTTCTTATTACCCAAGAGGTCAAGCTTTGCTCCTCCTCTAGTAGGAACATTTACATTTTACATTTTGATAAATTCTTCACCATCCAAACCTTTAACACTATTGTATTCCCAGTCAATATTTGGAAAATTAAAATCATCTACTATTACAACCTTATTATTCTTACATATATCTGAGATCTCTCTACGTATTTGTTCCTCAATTTTCCTCTGACTATGGGGGAGAGGGGTGGGGGTTTATGGTACATCCCATCAAGGTGATCATTCCTTTTGTATTTCTAATTTCACCCATATATTTTCAGTGGATGATTTTTCAGAAATATCTTCTCTAGTTACAGTAGTAATGTTTTCCTTAATCAAAAATGTGAACCTGCCCCCTCTCTTTCTATCCTTCCTACAGCATCTGAAATCCAGAACATTGAGCTGCCACTCCTGCCTATCCCTCAGCCAAGTTTCTGTAATAGCTATGACATCCCAATCCCATGTTCCCAAACATGCCTGAGTTCATCAGCCTTATCTGTAAGACCCCTTGTGTTGAAATAAATGCAATTTAATTCTTCAGAGTTACTTCGTTCTCTGACTTGCTCTTGTCTCTCTTTTCTAATTAACTTGTTCTTTTCAGATTCAAAACCATCCTCATCTATCTATTTACTCTGCTACTCACGATCTTTCCACCTGCCCTCTCTAATAGTTTACCTTAATAGAATTAGCAAATCTTCCCGCTAGGATATTTGTCCCTTTCCAGTACAAGTGAAACCCATCCTATTGAACAGGTCTTTTCTGCCCCAGAAGAGATCCCAAAGATCCAAGAACCCGAATCCCTGAACATTTACATTGCCTTCTTGGCCATTGATTTATCTGCTTTTTCCTTTTATTCTTTCCCTCATTCAAGCTTGGCACCGGAAGTAAACCAGAGATTACTACTTCTGAGGTTCTGGTTTTTACTCTTCTACCTAACCTCTTATTCACTCTATAAAGCGTTAATCTTTTCCTTAACTAACTCATTCTTACCAATGTGTACAATAACTTTCAGTTTCTTATTCTCCTTGAATAATATGCTTCAAACATTTTCAGACGTCCTTAATCCTGGCACCATGAAAGCAACATACCATCCTAGATTCACGCTCACTGCCACAGAATCTCCTGTCTGTGCCCTTGACAGGCGAGTCTCCTGTAACAAGTCTTCTAAATATTGTAAAACCCTGTCTAACATAAGATTCAATCTTAGAGCCCAAGATCAAACTGCCTCTTCTGTTTTTCTCTGAGACACTATCCTTTTCAACAGTACCCAAAACTGTTTGAGAGAGGAATAGCCACAGGGGACTTCTGAGCTACCTTCTTACTTTTCCTGAGTCACCTATCTGTCTGACTGTTCCTGCTGTGTAATTACTTCTCAAAATCTACTAGCCATCTAACTCTGTTTCTTGTATGCCCTCAATGACATTAAGCCTAAAAACAAGCAGCTTACAATAGTGGAGATAACAAGATGCAGAGCTGGATGAACACAGCAGGCCAAGCAGCATCATAGGAGCAGGAAGGCTGACGTTTCGGGCCTAGACCCTTCATCAGCTTACAATAGTACCTTTTATAAATAAAAATAAACTACCTTTCCTTACCCAAAGAATTAATATTAAGCATGCAAAAACTAAATGTAAAAAAAACATAAATTTTAAATAAAATCAACCACTTAGCTGAACAATAGAATTAAAAATGACTCCTCAAGTGGTCCAGCAGCCAACTTTCAATCTTATGACACAAAAAGAATCTCACCAGAGCTGTCCATGTGTAGGCTTCCTCAAAAGGTCCATTGACAGAACTCCATTTGAGAAAAATCTCTCAGTTTTTTTAGGTTTTTTTTGCATTTTTGACTATATAAGAACCAAAAATGAATCAAAATAAAAATGTTATACTGGAAATGTACTGGCTGTAAGAAATTTAGAAGTAAGATATGTGTAGGTTTTTCTAAAAATTCTGTTAACACACTGAGGGAAAAAAAATCAAGTATTTTCTTGACTATAAAGGAATGAAAGAAATCTTATTTTACCACGGAAATGTAATGACTGTAAGAAATCTAAAAGTAAATCTAGAAATAAGCCTGCAATCTCAGGAGCAGCTGCGAGATCCACTCTACTCTCAGTCCACCATTTTAGAACCTAGGGTAGTTGAAGATTTTTGCATTTCCAGGTTGTATCAGCATAACTTCAATGGTTGGCATGAGAGAGAGAGAGATCTCTTCAGAGCTTTATTTAGATCCTTTGAGTCGATGCACACTCTTAGCTTTACAGGTTGTTCCATTGCTACTATGCTGTTCGTACTATCTGTAGGAGTTGTCACTTTCTTGGTTACTACTTCTTCCAGCTGTTCTACCTTGTCTTTCATACTGGCCTTGCAGGCACCTGGAAAGTTCCTCAACAGTTGCTGAATTAGTCTTATACTCCTATCTAGTTTGAAATGATATTCTCCAGGATAACATCCTAACCTTAAACACATTGATTTGATTTAATTTATAAATGTCACATGTACCTACATACAGTGAAAAGTTTTGTTTTGTGTGCAGTAAAGACATCATCATACAAAGTGCATAAAGGTAATAGAACAGAGCAAAGAATACAATGTTACAGATGCAGAAAAGGTGTGTAAAGAGCGAGGGCAATATTAAATTTGAAATTTGAGAGGTCCATCTAATAACAACGGAGCAGAAGCTGTTCTTTAACATTGGTATGTGTGTTTAAGTTTTTGTATCATCTACTCAAAGGAAGAGGTTGAAAGAGATTATAATCAGAATGGGAGGGGTCTTTAATTATATTGGCTGCTTTTCCAAGACAGTGAGAAGTATAGATGGAGTCAATGGATGGAAGGTTGGCTTGCATGATGGACTGGGCTGTGTTCACAACTCTCTGTAGTTTCTTACGGTCCTGGAAGAGCAGTTGCCATACCAAGCTGTGATGCGTCCAATAGAATGCTTTCTATGGTGCATCTATAAAGATCGGTAGGAGCCTTTACAGATGCGCCGAATTTCCTTAGTTCCCTGAGCAAGTGGAGGCATTGTTGTGCTTTCTTGACTGTTGCATCAATGTGGGTGGAACAGGACAGATTGTTGGTGATCATCACTCCTAGGAATTTAACATTTTCAACCATCTCCACCTCAGCTCCATTAATATAGATAGGGCATTCCTTCTACCTTTCATTTTGCTAATGTTGGGGGAGAGATTGTCATCTTTACACCATGCCACCAGGCATTTTATCTCTTTCCTGTATTCTGACTTGTCATTGATTGAGATCCAGCCTACAACAGTCGTGTCGTCGGTGAACTTATAGATGGTATTAGGATGAAATTTGGCCACACAACTGTGAATGTACAGGGTGTATAGTAAGGGGCTGAGTACACACCTTTGTGGGGTGCTGATATTGAGGATTGTCACAGAGGAAGCGCTGTTGCCTATTCTCACTGATTCCGGTCTGTGGGTCAGGAAATTGAGGATCCAGCTGCACATGGCGGAGCAGAGACATAGGTCTCGGAATTTTGAGATTAGTTAGGTTTCAATTATCGTGTTGAAGGCAGAACTGTAGTCAATGAGTAGGAGCCTGATGTAGTTTTGCTTGTTTTACAGATGTTCCAGGAATGTGTGGAAGGCCCGGGAGATGGCCTCTGCAGTGGACCTGTTGTGATGATAGCTGAATTGTAAGGGATCAAGGCAGGTTGGGATGCTAGAGTTGATATGAGCCATGACTAACCACTCGAAGCACTTCATAATTATGGAGATCAGAGCCACCTGGCAGTAGTCATCGAGGCATGCTGCATGAGTTTTCTTTCGTACTGGGATGATGGTGGTCTTCTTGAGGCAGAGGGGGACTTCAGATCATAGTAAGGAGAGGTTAAAGATGTCAGCCAACACTCCTACCACCTGGTGTATAGCCAGGGACTCCATCTGGGTAAGCCGCTTTCTGTGTGTTCACTCTCAAAAAGGCCGATCTGATGTCTGCAGCAGTGACGGAGGGAACAGGTGCCTCCGAGGCTGTCGGGGCAGGTGACACCATTTCACTGACCTTCTGTTCGAAACAAGCATAAGATGCATTGAGCGTATCAGGGAGGGATGTATTTTTGTTCACTGTTCTGTTCTGCTTCGCTTTGTAGCCCATCACGTTATGTAGGACATTGTTCTACTTCTCTGGGTTCTAATCTACTGTCAGTTGTTTAGTGTATGCCAAGTTGCAAAATTCTTTTTTGACATATTGAGCGTTACCAGTCCAGTCTTTAAGACTTGCTGTAGCTGAGATGAGTGGCTTTTGCTTGCTACCTATGATGTGGAACTTGAGCTTTCTTCTCGGGCATAGTGTTATTTGTCCTCTTGCCCTGAGTGCGATGCCATCATAAACCTCAAACCTTACTTTTGAGGGTTTCATTTTTGGATTGCCATGTAGTCAATGCACAGATGTTTTTTTTTTCCCCTTTTATTTATTCACAGGATGAAGGCGTGGCTTTTAGGTAGCACTTATTGCCCATCCCTAATTGCTGTGGGTCAGGAGTCACATGTAGGCAAGACCAAGTAAGTTCCCTGATAGTTTCCTTCCCTAAAAGGATATTAGTGAACCAGATGGGTTTTTCCTGACAATTGGCAATGGATTCATGGTCTTCATTAAATTCTTAATTCCAGATATTTTTATTGAATTCAAATTCCACCATCTGTCGTGGCAGGATTTGAACCCAGGTTGTTATCTTGCTCTCGGGATTAACAGTCCAGCGATAATACCACTCGGCCATTGCCTCCCAACCTGCGAAAGGTAAGAAGCTGCATTCCTTGCGGTTACCATTTATACCTGCTTTTTTTTTTGCTTTCTTCTAGCCATACACTTGTGTGCAAAATGAATCAACTTCTTGCAATGAGAATAGTGCTTTCCATACACTGGACATTCCTTCTTTTCCTTTGTGAGATGTCTTCCACAGTATTTTAATCCTGCCCTTGTTCATGGTTTTTCTGCCTTTTGGGCCTGCAGTATCTATCAGCATAATACAAGACTGGCGTATTCTGTCATTAGTGTATTATTATTGTCAAATTTTTTTTGCTGCTGTATTTTGCTTTTGTTTAAAAACACATGCATATCATTGCTACTTGTTCCTTGCAACATGCCAATTAGAAATTGTGATTTTCTACTTTTTTTTTAATATATTGACCTCTAGAAAATGGGCACCACCATCAAAGCCAGAATTTATTGCATTTGAGACAACTGAATTGCTTCCTCAGCCATTTTAAGGATGGTGAGGAGTCAAATATGTTGCTTTGGATTTTGAGTCACACAGATCAGACCAGGTAAGGATCATATCTTTCCTTCCATAAAAAAGACTATTAAATCAGATGAATGTTTTACAGCAATTTCATGATGATGAATAATAGCTTTTTTATTCAGATTTATTTAATTAACTGAATATAAATTTCCCAAGTTGCCAAAGTGGGATTTGAGCTCATGACTCTGATCGTAAGCCTTTAGATTATTAGTCCCATACTACTATACTAAAGCATTGTACTCTTTAATGTCATGATTATGCTCATTAAATATGCTCATTGTTGATGAAAAGAGTCAAGCCTTCTGGCCTTAACATTCTCTTACAATTAGTTCCAGCTCAACCCACAGGCATTGAGACAGCTCTCGTTCTGCTATCACTAAGGAACAATAATGTCATGGCACCTAGAACTGTGCTTTGATATATATATTCTTAAATTCAATTGGGATAAAAGGAAGAAGGAAGCCAAGCACAGTTTGAATCTAACCTTTGAGATGAGTGAGTGTTATATTTTGTCACTGGGAAAACACAACTATTATGATCATATCAACCACTGGTGAAGCACTGGAGACACCTGAAACTGCACTTCTATAAATTTTTTTATTATTTTAGCCCTTTTGTTTTTACATTAGAAAATACATAAAACATCAATGAAAAAAAAAATGACAATTTTGCTAAAAATGTGACAGCCAAGAGGGGAAGAAGGCCTTTCCACAAGTTGAATTTAAAGTTGTCCCCGCAGATCCTAAAGAAAAATAACCTTTTCTTAGGTTGTCAGAAAAGTAAATGTTAGTTGCAACGCATTCTCCGATACATTTTCTGCATCAGGATGCAAGAGATACTAACGGGGTCTTTATTTCAAAACTATTTGTATCTGTGCTGAAAATGACTATGCATCTCTTCCAAATCATTTCAGAGGATATTTAAAGATCAGACATTAGAAATGGGATTGGAGTCACAAATAAGCCAGATTGGTAATGATAGCATATTTCCTTCCCCAAAGGATATTAATGAAGCAGTGGGGTTTTTACAACAATCTCATAGCTTTATGATCATCATCTGTACTGATATCAGTTATTCCTAGGTTTTTTCCAAAGCAGAATAGAGATTCTCAGTGACATGCTAGGATGTACATATAATTGAGTCTACAGCATGAAAACAGATTATTCAGCCCAAGAGGTCTATGCTAGCATTTATGCTCCACGCGAGTCTCCCCTCAGATTTCTTCATCTAACCAATCAACATACATTATTCCTTTCGCTTCATGTGCATGTCTAGCTTCTCCTTGAATGTATCTGCTACTTACCTCAACAACTCCTTATGGTGGCTATTCCACCTTACTATTAATGGTGGGGGGCGGCGCAGACAACGACTTATAAATGTCCTACCGGGTTTACAAATTACGTACTGCTTTATATTCATTACTTCTGGTTTTGGATTCCACCAACAACTTATCTTCTGGAGCTTTAAATTTTATAGAAAGGTTTAAAGTGCTTCGGTGGAGCAAAATCTAAACAAAATTTGACACTGAAACACATGATAGCTGATGACTAAAGGCTTTGTCAAAGATGTGTTTTAAGGAGCATCTTCAAAAACAAAAGTGAGATAGGGAGGCATAGAGATTAAAGGAAGGAATTTCAAACTTTAGAGTCTTCTCAGCTGAAGGCACAACCATCAGTTTTGAAGCGATTAAGCTCACAGATGGTTAGGAAGCCAATATTCAGCAAAGTTACCTTGGTTATGGGTTGGAGGAGGTCACAGTGATATGGAGTAGGGAACCCTTGGAAATAATCTAGTACATGGACAACAATTATAAAAAGAGATCTTGTTAATTTGGGAGCAATTGTAGGTCAGTAATCACAAGGATGATGGGTCAACAGGATTGAGTGCTAGTTAGGAAATGGGCTGCAGAGTTTTGGATGACCTTAAGTTTGGGAAGGTGGAACATGTGTCCTACTAACCAGGAGTGGAATAGTCAACTCTGGAGCTAACATAGGCACAAGTTAGAGTTTCAGCAACAGATAAATTGAAGCAGCAGCAGCAGAATCAGATCTTATGGAGGAGGAAATAGGCAGTTTTACTGCTGATGATCCAGACGCATTATCAACAGCTATCTTGGGGTCCAATTCCACAAGATTGTAAAGAGTGTGGTTTAGATTCAGTTACTAAAAGCGTTAGAGTTGGTATCCAAGGAACAAAGTTTATGTCAAGAGATTTTATTCTTTTATTCATTTGTGGGATTTGGATATCACTCGTTAGGCCAGCATTTATTGCCCAGAGGGCAGTTAAGAGTCAACCTGTGGGTCTGGAGTCAACAGTTTCATGATCATTATTAGATTCTCATTTCCAATTTTTTTTTTTTTAAACATCTTTAATCTTCCCAATATTGCATTGGAGGAAATTTCTGCTCATTAAGTATTAGTCAGATAAGCAGTCTGACAGTGTAGAAACAGTTAAGTTGAAAAGTGGTCATAAGGTTTTGCTAGGTATTAAGTGTAAATGTGAAAACTGACACTGTTCTAAGCAAACTGTATGTGTAACTACAGACATCTCCATAGACTCAAACGTGGTGGATTTGTTTCTATATGAAGCAAAATGTACTCAATTTAACACTCAAAATAGCTCTGCATCTCAAGGATGTGATCTTGGCTGCATCTTGAAATTATTCAAAACATTTTTTTGCTGTACATCACTACTGAGAAAAGATCCAATCCTTTTAATACTGAAAAAAGTAATGTATAGTCAAGACACCGGAGCTGGTCATTTGGTACAGATTAATGGAATGGTAGAACCCCAAACTGTCTTCATTCTTGCAGTGTAAACAACATAATCACCTAGAGTATTTCTGTTCCCTCTCTAGGGTCTCCTTTCACGGTTGTGAGAGTGCTTTAGCGAGCCTCTTCCAGAACCATGCTTTGGTGCTTGGGTTTGTGTAATCACACAACGTGATGTGACGGAGAATGCTTGGAAATTCCCTCTTGATCTGCTTGTACTTGACAGGGATCAGGCGCTTGTCTCGGGCACCTGTGGGATTAGAAATCAATGTCAGATTTAGTATTCACTCCCCTACTTACGATTTTTCTCTTTGATGTCATTTCTACCTCCTATTGTCTTGGCTGGGAATATATATATGCCAAACACCAAAAATCCTGTGGCATCATTGCTTCCCAACAGTCAACTCTTCACAGAAAGCCATTGATCCTACTGCTCACGTCACAAACACAGCTAACTACCCCTTTACCATTAAGCTCCACATCCCTGAATATTTTCTTGTGCTTAGCCACTTCCCTCCTAAATATAATTCCCTTGGCTTTGATAATGTTACTTTGTAACCCCAAGAATCTTTGCATGAAAAAGCTTTTGCTATGCACCTAATTGAATTAACTGCTAATTTTATGTACATATGCAAGTCCAGGTAACAGTGTTTTGAAAAAAAAAGTCATTTTTGGTCATGAATGTTGTGGAAAACACTAAGCCAGTCTTTAACAGATAGACATTCTGTAAACTTGAAACTTTCCAATTGGTGTCAATGATAACAATCAGGAAATGCCACCATTTTTCTTCATCCCACTCCTTGCAATATTCATCAGCTCTGGTTCAGATCAATCAAGACAGGACGTAGAAAAGGAAGCACATCTGGAATTGCTGTGTACCACACATGGGTACAACACCCAGTAATGCTACAAGCAACCAGAGGAAAAGTACTTTCTTCCCTCTTCTCGAAACACCAAGTACCAAGTATTCTTGGGCCTCTGCTGCTCTAATAGTAACCTTGAGCAAGTAAGACACAATGATAGAACAGAAGAAGATTCATCCTCATGCTCTCCCAATATGTGATAAGAATAAGGGTGGAAAGAAGGGTTGCTAGGACATAACTCCAATTTGTCAGAAGGCAGAGGTGAGAGCTCAGTGAATGAGGGATAACAGGCAAAAAAAAAAATCTTTGAAGTCAGAAGCTAGGAAACATAACCTTAGATCTTCCAATCGCTAGATCTTCGGACACCCTGATTTATCCCCTAAGACCATAAGGCATGGAAGCAGAAATAGGCTATTCAGCCCATTGAGTCTGCTGCAAGGTTCAATGAGATTATGGAGTGGAGGAATATCAACTCTATTTTCCTATCTTTTCCCTATAACCCTTGAATCTGTCACTGATTTAAAAATCTCTCTCAGCTTTGAATATACTTAATTAACCAGCCTCTTCAATCCTCTGCACTAGTTCCATTGATTCATTACCCTCAGAAGAAATTCCTCCTCATCTCTCTCTGAAAGGACCCCTCAGAAGTCTTGATGCAATGACTACATGGGCATCACTCTTTATAGGGCCACGTATTTTCCCTCCTTGGACTATAAACTGGAATGGAAGTCAGGGATTGCTATATGGGAAAGTTTTGCAACCTGGGAAAATCAAATGGTACACACACAAAAGACAATGTTGCTTTTTTAAGCAAATGGCATCAGGAGTCTTTAAGGGAAAACTTCCTGACAACAGGCCATCAGATTAGCCCAGCTGCTGTTTGTCATAGATCTGAAAGTGCAGTGCATCTGAAGACATCCACAGTCAGTAATCTGAAAACATATTTCTCTTTCTCTCTCTCTCTTTTCCCCTCCTTTCAGTGTAAGTGAAAAGACAAAAGAAGAAACTTGAGAATTCTAACCCAAGAAAAGACCTAGTTGTACCTGATCAATCATCAAATTGAAAAATTACCATTACTCTGCAGGCAACTGTATGTGATCATTGCTAAAATTAAAAGAATTAAGGCAGACAGTTTAATTTACTGGAGATCTGGACTTTTGATCTTCAAATTTTTGTTTTCAAAGTCTATAGTTTTCCACCCATAATATTTATGTCAACTGTCTACCTTCTGTCTGTCTTATTTGTGAATAGGTGTGTGTGTGTTTGGGGGCTTCAAAGCTGTACAGTTTAATTTGCAAAGTAGTATATTAGGATTAGTAACTTCTCTCTGCCATTTATTAAAGAATTAGTGAATTTCCAATAATTAGTTATTTCCTTGTTAATAACAGCCTGGTTAGAATGACTTCTGACTGGAAAAGCAGCCAATTTAAAAAAAAAATCACCTTTGTGATTTAAGTTGGGTATTTACACATCTGTGATGGCTTGTGGATTAGTGGAGCTGAATTATTGGAGGACTCTTCCTAGTTAGTTTGTAAAATTTAAGATGAGTGATTTACTCTGCATCTGAAGCCCTCAAAGTTTCCAATTCTGAGGTATATTCAGTCTTCACAAGTACCAACTCATTCTCCCAACTAGTTACTTGGGAGATGCGACAGATTAAAACCAGTTCTCACTCACTGGTAACTATACAATTGATAACCTCAATTTATCGCTACAACGTCAATACACCGTCGACCACTGTCCCCAAAACCTCAACTACCTCCCCCAATCCAGCCTGAGACTACACCTCCTGCACCTGTGCAGATGCACTGTCAGTGCCTGTGGCTTTGCAGTTAATTATATCACAGACAGCTGCCTGCATTAAAGGTGACAAAAATTGAAAAAAGACTTGAAAGAAGACCCTACTAATTTGGTGCCCTTCTGCTTGCCCCATTCCTCTTGCCACACTCTTCCACTTTCCCTTGTCACTGGAGACCTTATTCTTTCCCTTCCACAGTCTCTCGCCACTCTCTTCACCTCCTCCCATTTCCTACTACTTGTTCTTCCAATCTGTTCCAAACAGGGACAAGAGGTGAAGGAATTAGATGGCAATAAGTGGCAGAAAAAGGAGCAAATAAGGATCCTGTTGGGCACAGAAAAGTAATAAATGGAACAGTGAGAAAGAGGGCAAGTGAGCTTGAGAGACTAGGCAGTCAGCAGGAGTGACCAAAGGCTGGAACATTTCAAGAAGTGAATAGAGCACTACCATAGTGATACAAGTAACTGGAGAAACTGCACATACACTCATGACAGTATGGGAGTTGGCTTAAAAGCAAAGTACTGCGGATGCTGGAGATTTGAAATTGCTGAAGAAACTCAAACAGAAATTGCTGGAAAAGCTCAGCAGGTCTGGTAGCATCCATGGAGAGAAATCAGAGTTAACTGATTTGCACAGATGCTGCCAGACCTGCTGAGCTTTTCCAGCAATTTGTTTTTGATTCTGATTTCCAGCATCCACAGTTATTTCGGTTTTTATTTGCTGAAGAAACTTAATAGGCAATATCAGTGGAGGGAGAAACAAAAGTTTGACTGCAGTACAATGCTTTTTTAGTTCTTGAAGAGTCATGTTAAACTTGAAACAATTAATTAATTCTCTCTCTACAGATGCTGACAGAGCTACCGAATTTCTCCAGCACTTTCTCTTTTTTGATTTGGGAGCAGACTACTTCAGTTCTTTTCCATGTTCAGCAGGACAGGAATTAGAGTTTCATAAAAATAACAATAAAACCAATCAGCAACATATTATTTGAGAGAAAAAAATTAAGAAACATCAATAAGGAGTTTTGGCAGTAGCCCATATATATTGGAGGAAAAAAGTGGAAACTGCAAATCATGAAGTAGGTGTTAGGTAAACCCTACATGGTGAAAGAACAGTAGAAAATGTGAGATAAGTAACTTGACTAGATGGTACACAAAATTAAATGCTTTACCTGGACTAAGACTCAGAGCAAACTTCGTTTGAAAGTCACAATCATTACTGACCAAATAGTCATCAGAGATTATCGCCACCATTCTTTTACATCTGTTATTAAAAGGTAGGGAAAAGAATCATGAGACTCCAATCAAACAGTCAATAAAGCATTTCATTCTTCTCTAACATTTTAATTCTTTCTTTTGACCTTTTTTGTAAATGTAGATTTATGCTTAGAAGTTCTGTTAATTAATATGTGCTCAATTGAATACAGAGAAAAACAGACCAAAGTGAAATAATGATATACATAGGATATGGAATTCTAGAGCTTGAGAACCAAGTCATTGTCTAGTAATAAGATTTTTCAGATGATGGGCTTTGAACTGAAAATAAAAACATGCTTTGCTCTAAATCTCAACACGAATGAGGAAGCTTATCAGGTTATTCTAAATCTACTCGAGTGGACCGACAATTCCCTATTCACTCTTGGTATTATGGCTACCTATGATTTCTCCTTCAGTCAGGGACTGATATGAGAGATCTGAGCTGAAAAATCCTGCAGTTTTCAAGGATGTGTTTGGTAATAAAATGCACTCATCTTGCGTAACTTTGCCATGAGAAATATTAAATTCCTTTCCTTGATTGATTATTGGGAACAGAAAGTTAACACATCAAGAAATTTGTTCGTTTCAAACCCTGCCCAAACCATTTCTTCATACCTTTTCTCAATAAGCTCGCTGGTGATGGTCCAGACACACGACCCTGGCAGCACATCGCGGTCAAATACACACAACTTCAGTTTGCACTCGGACTGCTCAAGCTGCTTGATCATCTCATGGACAAACTCAATATCAGCTTGACAATAGCAAATGAAAGCATCAAAGAACTCGGGTGCAGCTCCTGCAAGACATGGTGATTTATTAATCAATTATCTACCACATGATACTCTACAGTAATTCCCAAATTGCTCCATCACTGTAGTTTTCCTTGTTTCAACCATGGGTTTATTTTAGACCAACTGGCAGACACAGACTACTAGAATTATCATGGAGTCCATTTCAATTCTAAGAATAATGGAGGGAAACTATACAGATACCTTTCCTTTCACTTAAGCCCTATATTGTCTTTCCATTTTATGCAAGAGGCTGGCCTTCTTGAATGTTTTTCCTCTGTTCTAAGAGGAATCTGACATGCTGCTGCTCTCTAATGTTGCTAAATGGGGAGGCAATGGCCTGGTAGTATTATCGCTGGACTGCTAACCCAGAGATTCAGGTCCTGGAGACCTGGGTTCAGATCCAGTAAATATCTGGAATTAAGCGTCTAATGATGACCATGAATCCATTGTTGATTGTCAAAAAAAAAAATCCATCTGGTTCACTAACGTCCTTAAGGGAAGGAAACTGTCATCCAGACCTGGTCTGGCCCACATGTGACTCCAGATCCACAGCAATGTGGTTGACTCTTAACTGCTCTCTGCGCAATTAGGAATGGGCAATAAATGTTGGCCTAGCCAGCGACACCCTTATACCATGAATGAATAGAAAGAAAATTGTTTTCCCTCATGTTGATGATAAAATCAGTTAAGTTGCCTTTATGCTGCCAGCAAGGATAATTTCTAATGTAAGTGAAGATCGCTGACTGGAGTACAAAACTATACAGTTGATTTAGTAACGTGTGCCTTTCAAATACTTTCTATAGTGTATTATCATAGACTATAGTCTGTTGAAGTATGCGCCCCAGTGAGTGTTTAAAACTCAACACAAACTGGAGAGAGTGTTTGGAAAGGGTGCAAATCATTCGCCACAGGGAGGTGAACTTGGATTAGGAGCAGTATGCTTTTTTTTTGTCCATCTGTGACACATGCAAGTGCACGAACCTTATTTCAGGTTGGCCCACACTTAATTTTGGCCCACTTATGCACAATCTGTGTGGGAAATGGGTTGTTCTTAGAACATACAGTGGTAGACAAGCAGGCATTGTCATACCTTGCCAAATTAAAGGAATGACAACACACTAAAGAGAAATTTGCCTTGGTTTTATCCCCCCACCTATATAAATAAGTTCCAACTTGAATTCAAACTATGTCTGCAGTTGGTTTATACTCCTCCGTGTTGAGCCAGAAATTTCATCTTTTCATATAAACTGAATATCCCCAAATTTCAGCATTCCTGCTCTTACAGACAACCATTATAGCTTTTAGTTGGATTTACTATAGTATAGTAAACTTAGAGGAACTGGTAGCCCAGAGGTAATATCACTAAATTAGTAGTCGAAAGGCCCAGGCTAATGCTCTGGGGTGTAGACTGAAACCCCACCACAACATTTGAAATTGGAATTCAATAAGAGTTTTGGAATTAAAAGCTAGTCTCCATAGTAGTGATCATGAAACCATCATCAATTGTCATAACCCACCTAGTTCACTTTATAGTCCCAACCCTTAGATGTTTGCAACTTGATTTGGTAAGGTAACCTATTGGAGAGAATAGTCTTCCTATCGAATGATAACAGATGTAGCTTTGTTAATATTAGAGGAAAATGAAATGATATAGTGTTCAGATTACCTGTCGGGTCATCTCTTATTGTTATTCCTCCTGGACTTGGAGTCTTGGGCTCACTGCTATCCACTGATTGAACTTGAACTGGTTTATTAAGGTATCGTCGACAGCTTGCTTCTGTTAAAAAAAAAGATAAGGTCGTGAGTTGATTGGTCTAAACAGAGTCCAAACCCAAAGTAGGTTGCCCTATTACCTGCCTCATGCCCATACTTGCAGACATGTTCTTCACATTTAGGCTTGTTCAGTCAGTTGTGGTACTAGAGCCACTCTTGATTTTAGACACTGAAGTCTCCTACCCAGAGTATATACTGTGTACCTGCGACCCTCAAGTGCTTCTTCCAAATGGTGCTCAACATGGTGGAGTTGAGGCAGGTTTCATGAAGGACTGAGATATGGATAATGTAAATTCTGAATCCAAAAGTTTTGAAATTGATTTTTTTTTTGTCATCCTTTACAATGGCACAGGAATCAGCACAATGAAGACTTCAGCAGAAATCCCATGATATACTTGTTACGCCAGCATAAGAACAGTGGCTTATAAGCTTATAGTTTGTGTGTTCTGGAAGTTCACAATATTTCTCTAACCTTGACTGGAACCCACTCCAACCCTCAGTGGAGTAGGAAGGTTGTGGGGTAGATATCAGAGATAACAGTGTGGAGCTGGAGGAACACAGTAGGCCAGGCAGCATCAGAGGAGCAGGAAAGCTGATGTTTCGGGTCGGGATCCTTCTTCAGAAAAAGGAGGAGGCCTGGCCTGGCCTGCTGTGTTTCTCCAGCTCCACACAGTGTTATCTCTGACTCTAGCGTCGGCAGTCCTTACTATCTCTGAGTGGGGTAGGTATCACCTCTTTTCAATATAATTACACCACATCAACAAACTAAAGCTTTTTCAAATAACTTGTTAAACTCATGAAATCCACTGCCTGGATAAATACAAAGGCATGGGGAAAAGAATAAAGACATGCATTTATAACCACTTGCAAGTGTCTCAAAGAACTTTATAAATCAATTAGGTACTTTTGAAATGTAGTTAGTCGTATCATAGGCAATTAGAACACAGTAAATTCCCATAAGAAGTATTGTGATAAAGATCAAATAATTGTTTTTTCTGAGTGACACTGATTGAGGGATGTTCATTCACCAGGATGTCAGGCATAACTTCCCTGCTTCTCTTTGAAATAGTTACCATGAGATCTTTTAAAGTCAAGCTTTGTGACTCAGACAAAAAACTTGAAGCCACAGCTGACACTTCAGCTCTGACATCATCACTTCCAAGTTCCCAACCAAATCAGACACGAGACAACAAGGTGCAGGGCTGGATGAACACAGCAGGCCAAGCAGCATCATAGGAGCAGAGAGGCTGACGTTTCGGGCCTAGACCCTTCATCAGAAAAGGGGGAGGGGAAGGGGGTTGTGAAATAAATAGGGAGAGAGTGGGAGGCGGATAGAAGAGGGATAGAGGAGAGGATAGGTGGAGAGGAAACAAACAGGTCGAAGAGGCGGGGATGGAGCCAGTAAAGGTGAGTGTAGGTAGGGAGTTAGGAAGGGGATAGGTCAGTCCAGGGAGGACGGACAGGTCAAGGGGGTGGGATGAGGTTGGTCGGTAGGAGATGGAGGTGCGGCTTGAGGTGGGAGGAGGGGATAGGTGGGAGGAAGAACAGGTTAGGGAGGCAGGGACGAGCTGGACTGGTTTTGGGATGCGGTAGGGGGAGGGGAGATTTTGAAACTTGTGAAATCCACATTGATACCATTAGGCTGCAGGGTTCCCAAGCGGAATATGAGTTGCTGTTCCTGCAACCTTCGGGTGGCATCGTTGTGGCACTGCAGGAGACCCAGGATGGACATGTTGTCTGAGGAATGGGAGGGGGAGTTGAAATGGTTCGTGACTGGGAGGTGCAGTTGTTTATTGCGAACCGAGCGTAGGTGTTCTGCAAAGCGGTCCCCGAGTCTCCGCTTGGTTTCCCTGATGTAGAGGAAGCCACACCGGGTACAGCGGATGCAGTATACCACATTGGCAGATGTGCAGGTGAACATCTGCTTGATGTGGAAAGTCTTCTTGGGGCCTGGGATGGGGGTGAGGGAGGAGGTATGGGGGCAGGTGTAGCACTTCCTGCGGTTGCAGGGAAAAGTGCCGGGTGTGGTGGAGCTGGAGGGGAGTGTGGAGCGGACAAGGGAGTCACGGAGAGAGTTGTCCCTTCGGAAAGCAGATAAGGGTGGGGAGGGAAAGATGTCTTTGGTGGTGGGGTCGGATTGCAGATGGCGGAAGTGTCGGAGGATGATGCGTTGGATCCGGAGGTTGGTGGGGTGGTACGTGAGGACGAGGGGGATTCTTTTTTGGTTCTTATTGCATGGACGGGGTGTGAGGGATGAGGTGCGGGAGATGTGGGAGACACGGTTGAGGGCGTTCTCGACCACCGAGGAGGGGAAGTTACGGTCCTTGAAAAACGAGGACAACTGAGATGTACGGGAGTGGAATGCCTCATCCTGGGAGCAGATGCGGCGGAGGCGAAGGAATTGGGAATAGGGGATAGCATTTTTGCAGGAAGGTGGGTGGGAGGAGGAGTATTCTAGGTAGCTGTGGGAGTCGGTGGGCTTGAAATGAATATCGGTTTCTAGGTGGTTGCCCGATATGGAGACAGAGAGGTCCAGGAAGGGGAGAGAGGTGTTAGAAATGGTCCAGGTAAACTTAAGGTTGGGGTGGAAGGTGTTAGTGAAGTGTATGAACTGTTCGAGCTCCTCGTGGGAGCACGAGGCGGCGCCGATACAGTCATCAATGTAACGGAGGAAGAGGTGGGGTTTAGGGCC